TATATATATATATATATTTATTTATTTTTTTATTTTTTAATTTTTTTGAATGAGTTGAGGATGCAAGGTTTTATTTTGTTTTTCCTTTTAATAGTGTGATAGATTCTGGGTTTGGACTTTTTTGTTGTTCAGATGGTAATATCATGTAGTTAAAGTGAGAATAAGGCTTAACAAGGAGTAAAATAATGCGTGTAATTGCAGCGAAAAGGTTTAGCTGTTTACTGTATTTTTTGTTTTGTCTGTTTTTGTTCTTTCTTTTTTTTCTTTTTCTTTCTTTTTTTTTTTAATTTCAAGGACCCTAAACTACTGTCAATGGCATATTCAGCTGTTGGAAAACTTTCCAGGTGAGTAAACTCTTTTTTAGTGAGAGATATCCTGTTGGTAAACTGAGAAAAATTATGTCGCATTTAATAATGGATGGAGAATAAATTTGTTGTGATTCTGAAATGAAATGTATTTAATGGTATAGGTTGTTAAGAAATGTTTTCTTTGTAGAAGGAGAAAGATGTGAGACCTTTTAGTTTACATTTGAAGATATTTTACGATATTAAACCGTAATCTGGAAATGGGATTTTGAAAAGAATTGTGTCATAATGAGTTACATTTTTTTTGTACTTTAGAGGCATTTGATTGACCGTAAGTGTTCTTGTTGCCACTTACTGCTAGTCTTTATAATCCCAATAATCAGGTTTTTCTGGTGAGTCTCTTTCTGATAGTGTTTAGATTATGATTCTGATTGGCCCTGTTTCCAAAGATGGATTTTTTTCTTCTGCTTAGTATGATTTCCTCATTTCAGTTCCTCCCGGTTTCATCTTCCTTCACAGTATTTCAAAGCAGGGAGATAGAGGTGAAGCGGTCTCAGTGGCACCATGTGCTGCTTCCGCCCCCAGTGCAGGTTCTGTATCGACCTATGTAGACTAGGACTAGCTCTTCTCTACTGTGCAGGGAAAGGAGCATTGGGGGTCGGAAGAAAGCCACCCCAGATCAACTGATGTAGCACACATTTCGTGGGCAAATCTTGTCCCTTGTCTGTTGGCATGAAATAAGAAAGCCCATTATCACAGTAGCCTTTAGTTTAAATCACAGTTCGGTCTGATCTGTTTTCTTCATGATAAAATCAGAAATGTTAACTGAATGCATGGAATATTTATAGAGGCAACATCTGGAAAATATGTATTTAAGGTTGCTTGGCTTAGACAGTTGAGGAATTAAATATTTGCTTTTAAAAATATTTGGCTTTTGGGGGAGATAATCTAATGATGCTGACATTGTGTTGAAAGGTGAAAATATGAGTGCAGAAATTCAGTATTTAGTTTTTTTGGTGGCTGGCTGGCTTGGGGCTCTGAACCCTTGACCTTAGTGTTATTAGCACTGTGCTCTAACCACCTGAGCTCCCTGTATTTATTTTCTCCCTTTTTCATCTCATGGAAATTTATGATGGTAATGGTACTCTTGTATTCTCTTACAGTCGAATGCCCCATTTATTCACTAAGGATATAGCTCTTGTGCAGCAGCTTTTTGAAGCCCTGTGTAAGGTAGGAAAACAACTGGTAAGTTTATGCTTTTCGTTTGGATGTTCGCTGGGAAACCCTATGGAGGGAAACACTATTTTTATCATTATAGGAAGAGCCCGAGACTCGACTTGCTATTCAAGAAGCACTGTCTATGATGGTTGGAGCTTATAGTACTTTGGAAGGAGCACAGCGAACTCTCATGGAGGCACTTGTGGCTTCGTACTTAATAAAGGTCAGTCCAACTATGTGAATTACAATGGCTGGTAATAT